TGCTAGCTACACTGAAGGCAGTTACCATCCAAAGGCTTTTTGGTACCCTACAAGAAACAGGCAGAGTCATTTCAGTCTGGTTCACAAGGAACAGGTGCCCACAGGATGCCTCAGCAGAGATGCAAAGGATTAAATAGAGGCTAACCTATCCTCTCAGCCCATAGGGCTAGCTTAACAGAGCTAGGCTTTTCCCGCATCCACGTGGGTCCCTGTCCTGCTGACAGATGGGAGGCTTTAGTGTCCAGGCTGGCAATCCGGCACCCTTCACTAGTGGCGCTGGATGCTAGAAAAAGATCTTAAAGACAACAACAATGGTGTTGGGGCAACATAGTCGCTTTCCAAAGACTTTTGCTATACTGGCAATTGAACTGATTGGGAATTTTTCGACTAAGCTTTTTTTCATCCGAAAATGCAGATTTAATTGAAACTGAAAACGTTTCTGAGAATGTATCAGTTCCAACTGAAAGGTGTCTCAGGTCGAGGATGGAATTTCTGGTCAAAACAAGAGCAAACCTGCCTTAGGATACCAAATAGCCCAGTGGTTAGACCACTCTGCTGGGATTTGGGAGACCCAGGTTTCAATCTGCACTCTGCCTGATTTGGGCCAGGCACTTGAATCTAGATCTCCCAAGTACCAGGTGAATGTCCTAACTAATTGGCCATTCTGGGGTGGGTCTCCCTTGTTTTTTCCATGAAAAGTTTCAGAAGTTTTCATTCTGATGAGAAATGAAACCCAGATGCGGATACCTTGATATTTTTCATGAAACAGAGTTCTTGTTTTAGCCCTCATTGACAGATTACAAATAAATCCCCAGCAAATATTTCCAGCCCCAGCATGCCCTGCTTTTTATGGCACAAGTGCCTCCACACAGCTATGCATATTGCCCTTGCCTAGTAACAACCTAACCCATGCACACGCCTCCATTGGGAAAAAGTGTGATGGTCACCATTTTGGCTGACACCCTGGCAATTTACCTGTGGACCCCCAAAGCTAAAAAGCACAGGCTGCTACAGCTTGAGTTAGAGACCCAGGCTCTCTAACTGGCCCAGCAGCAGCCCCCTATCCTCTGCAGATTGGGCACAGAAGAAACCTTGTATCACACACACATCGGGGGAGGTGGGGTGTCACACGAGCACAAACCGCCATGATCATGTGGCCCGTAGCGCTAGTCAAAAAGTTTTTCATTCAAATGATTTTCTGATGAAAAATGCTCTTCTCACAAAACAAAAAATTTTCAGGGGAAAACTTTAGTTTTGCTGGAAAATTTTCATCAGAAAAACCATAATGATGTTCCCAGCTGACCGCCAGGAAGGTTCACCTCCCGTAAGGGAAATTGACAAAAACTTTCCTGGCCCAGGTTGATCACAGAGACACTCTGCAGCTTAGCCTTCCACGGAGCTCCAGGAGCTGTAAAGGCAGAGAGCTGGAGCTCTCAGCCTTGCTCACTCCTCCGCAGCTTGCGGAGCCAGAGTCTCTGCCTCTCCATCTCTAGAGATTAGAGGGACGGGAAGGGGGAAATGGGGAGATTAGCACCCCACCTCTTTGGCTCCTGGAGCTGCAGGGGAAGGGAAGGGAAGGGAGGCTGAGTAGCCAGGCACTCTGGCCAGGGAAGGTTCTGGTCAGTTTCAGAACTGACATCGACAAGAGCCTTCCAGGAGAAAGGATGAGAAAATCCATTTGGTTCTTCTGAAATGGAATTTCTCTTTAAAATTTCCCACAAAAAATCTCACCTCTGACTTTTCGTCCTAATTGAAAGCAATTTTTTTTAAGTGAAGTTTTTCCGGAAAAGGGATTTCCTTCTTCCAGCTCGTCCAAAAAGCCCTAAATTAAACACATGCTATAAAGGACAACAATACTGGATGTTTACAGAGCGACTTCCGATCCCAAAGATTCCAACATGCGTAACAAACTGCGCTTCCCCTACCAATGAAATGCAGCCACCTCTGAGGTGGCATGTGGCAGCATTCAGCTTCAACAACCAGGAAAAGTAATTAGGAGTCCCTGGTTTTGACAAAGCTTACCAAATATGGCATTAAAAAGCAGCTACTCACACCAATGTCTCAGTTCTTAGGCACTTGCAAGGAATTGACTGTTTCTCCTAAGCAGTCTGCTACGAGTGATATTCCCAAGAGTTCTAATGTACCTGGAAAAGTCTGTTCACTGTGGATTCAATTTCTCTTTTCATTAAACACTACAACTGTATAAAGAGCTGCATTATGTAAGATAAAGGATGTTAAGCAAGCCAGATGCAAATTAAACTGACATGTCTGTCATTGGGTGGACTGATATAACGTGGCAGCTGCTTCCCCAACATTCAGGCCCCATCTCTGTCTCCAGCAGGATTCTTCTGCCCCTGATTTTCCTCACTGTGATTAAATGTTGGAGTGTTTTTGTGTGTGTGTGCATGAGAAAGAGCATGCAGGTGTGTGATGTGGGTGTGCATGTAAGTCTGTGGAGTGTTCTGAGTGTGGGTGTGTACACACTGCTGTGCATGCATGGTGTTTGTCAGCAGGAGTGCTGCAGAGAGTGTGTGTGGTGTTCGTGCGGCACACGTGTGGTGCTGAGAGCGCACAGGAGTAGTTTGTAAGCATGACTGTTGTGGTGTGGTAACACAACCTGCTGAATTTGTGTATGCAAGGTGTACTTAGAGCATCCGTGTGGAGTTCACATGCACTAAATGGGGTGCGTATGGTGTTTGTGACAGCATTGTGTAAATGCTTGAATGTTTTGTCTATTAACCCCGCTCAAAAACAGTTTTTCACCCTCGATCTTATGCCAACTTCCCATGTCTCTGCATGGGCCGGCAGAACAGCGGAGGAGAGATTTTGTTAACAATCTACAGTTCCAAGAGAAAATGAGCGAGATCAAACAAGCTGAGAAGTAGTATCTGTCAGAAAACCTGTTCTTTTTGCAGGCAGGCTAGAAGAGGCAGGTTCTTTGGCCAGCTGGAGTGCTGCTTTATGTGCCAATGTGAATACTACTAGCTTGGTGTGGGTCTCTCTCGGCTATAGACACTGCAACTCAATCTCCATCATCATCATCATCATTTTATTCAGGCACTCTCAGCCACGAGTGATGCTGCCATATTTCTGTAGGATTTCCAGAGTCTCAGCTCCTGGAATGTGCTCAGTACCTCTCCCAGAGCCTCTGCTGTACTGTAATGTAACTAATACGGCGCGTTTGAGAGAGAAATCAATTCTCCCCTGGCACCTCGCTTCCCTGTGACTGAGCTTCCCCCTAAAATAGCCATTGACAATGAAGACATCATGAGCCAGTCTCGTCCATGCCCCTGCTGGGTGGTAAAAGTTAGCTGCTATGGCTTGGATCTGTCCCTAGGTTCCATTAGGACTGGGTCATCCCCATGTTCCTCCCTTAGGGCATGTTACAAATCTGGTCTATTTCAGATGGATTATTCTTACGGTCCTTGTGCCGGTATTTGACCCTCCCTTTGGTTTTTCCCATTCCTCCCTCTGGAGTTGGGAACTGGTCCCTTTGTGGGTAAAGTGCTGGCTACTGGCTTTGTGCCAGTTCTTCTTTTAAAGGCTGACGGCCCGTGGCTGGCTGTTTCATTTGGGGCTTGCATTATACAATCATTGTAATATCGGGCCTAACATTTCACACAGCCCCACAAGGGGGATGGCTCTGGCTTCTCTCACTCCCTGAGCTGAGTACATGGCAGACTCAGTCCCTCTGTGGAGGCTGCAGCATCCTGCGTGGTAGAAAACAGACAGGACTCTGTTATGCTGAATATACAAAGGTTTCTTTACTGAAGCTGCGGGACATTGACACTAACTGTTGTCCTCCCTGGCTCTCTACCTCCCAGCCTGACTGACAGAACCTGTGCTACCTACCATTATCACATTCGTTCTCACTAAGTCCCAGCTTGGATCTTGCAATCACAGAAGGGACTGCCACACCACATTAGACTCCTGCCCACCCCGGCACATATTGGACACTACAGAGAGAGGGCCAAGGACTGCACGCTGCTGTCAGACTACGAGAGGTGCTGGTGGGACCTCCATCTTTGGGACAAGGCAGGGTGTAGTGATGTGGGGCGTTGCTGACTTTGGGCCTGACTGAGATGTCTCAGCATGCAACGGATTGGCGACATCACCGCTGACCAGTGCTGGAGCAGGGGGCAATCTGGCAGTGGAGCACGGAAAGTCAGTTTGATTTTTATTCAGTAATGGGCTGCTCTTTTAGGGTCTGAAATGTTCTCAGAGGACAAAGCAAGAGGAATATGAAGTTGAGAGAACAGATGGATAGTGACTAAAACAACTTCCTTTGGGGAAGACTCTCTGCTCCAGGACAGAGCAGGGGTACCAGACTCTGCTAGCACAGTATGCACTGGGATATCTCAGCACAAGGAAATGTCAGCCATCATGGTGCATTATCTGTGTGTGCCTGGAAAAATACAAAATGTGACATTTTAAACAATCATTAAGAAGGCTGCCATAAGTCTAGCTCCCTGGGAGTATGGACGGATCCTTTCTTTGTGCCTCTCTGCAGAGACCAAGAACAATGCCTCTAGGAACAGCTGACAATGCACAACCCCACCACAGCCCACCACACAAATAAATAAATGGCTTAAAGCTACAATTAGATTAAGGTCAATCTGCATAACTAATGGTTTATTCAAACACATTCCGCCCCTTCTGTTCCTAAATTGTCCATGAAGAGATTGCACTTTGTTCAAACTTATTTCTCAAACAAGCACTTTGGAAAATTTTACTCAGAAGCTAAGCAACTTAATATGACGATCTGGGGACTGCGTCTTTACAGTCTGCGGTGTACTGAAAACTGTGTACAAATTGTAGAGCTATCACTTTAAATTTCTAAGGCATTTCCTTGCATTTCCTTTGCAGGCTAGGTGGCTCTTTAACGAACCCAAAGGCAGCACTGTTAAATGCCATTCTCCATTCACCATACAGTGAAACGTTTCTCTTGCCTCATCTAAAAGACCTTTCAGCTCAGCAAGTCGTTCTGTTTCTCTGGTATTTGCAGTACCTGTATATAAAGTGCAGTGAAAAAGTTAGTATGAATTTTCCTGGCATGCGCTCTCCAACCATAAACCAGATTATGGACTGGATGTGCCTGTTACTAGATGCTCATTTTACAGTTGTCGTGACGCTACCAGAAGCAAAAGGATTACTTTTTAGCTGTGATCAGAGTCAGCCTGAAGACAGACAGCCTTGAGTAAGGTGGGGTGAATTGTGCCTGTGTCTGTCTGTCTCTCTTAGCCCTGGTCTACACTAGGACTTTAGGTCGAATTTAGCAGCGTTAAATCGATGTAAACCTGCACCCGTCCACACAATGAAGCCCTTTATTTCGACTTAAAGGGCTCTTAAAATCGATTTCCTTACTCCACCCCTGACAAGTGGATTAGCGCTTAAATCGACGTTGCCGGCTCGAATTTGGGGTACTGTGGACACAATTCGATGGTATTGGCCTCCGGGAGCTATCCCAGAGTGCTCCATTCTGACCGCTCTGGACAGCACTCTCAACTCAGATGCACTGGCCAGGTAGACAGGAAAAGAACCGCGAACTTTTGAATCTCATTTCCTGTTTGGCCAGCGTGGCAAGCTGCAGGTGACCATGCAGACCTCATCAGCACAGGTGACCATGATGGAGTCCCAGAATCGCAAAAGAGCTCCAGCATGGACCGAACGGGAGGTACGGGATCTGATCACTGTATGGGGAGAGGAATCCGTGCTATCAGAACTCCGTTCCAGTTTTCGAAATGCCAAAACCTTTGTGAAAATCTCCCAGGGCATGAAGGACAGAGGCCATAACAGGGACCCGAAGCAGTGCCGCGTGAAACTGAAGGAGCTGAGGCAAGCCTACCAGAAAACCAGAGAGGCGAACAGCCGCTCTGGGTCAGAGCCCCAAACATGCCGCTTCTATGATGAGCTGCATGCCATTTTAGGGGGTTCAGCCACCACTACCCCAGCCGTGTTGTTTGACTCCTTCAATGGAGATGGAGGCAATACGGAAGCAGGTTTTGGGGACGAAGAAGATGATGATGAGGAGGAGGTTGTAGATAGCTCACAGCAAGCAAGCGGAGAAACCGGTTTTCCCGACAGCCAGGAACTGTTTCTCACCCTAGACCTGGAGCCAGTACCCCCCGAACCCACCCAAGGCTGCCTCCTGGACCCAGCAGGCGGAGAAGGGACCTCTGGTGAGTGTACCTTTTAAAATACTATACATGGTTTAAAAGCAAGCATGTGAAAGGATTACTTTGCCCTGGCATTTGCGGTTCTCCTAGATGTAGTCCTAAAGCCTTTGCAAAAGGTTTCTGGGGAGGGCAGCCTTATTGCGTCCTTCATGGTTGGACACTTTACCACTCCAGGCCAGTAACACGTACTCGGGAATCATTGTAGAACAAAGCATTGCAGTGTATGTTTGCTGGCATTCAAACAACATCCGTTCTTTATCTCTCTGTGTTATCCTCAGGAGAGTGAGATATAATTCATGGTCACCTGGTTGAAATAGAGTGCTTTTCTTCAGGGGACACTCAGAGGAGCCCATTCCTGCTGGGCTGTTTGCCTGTGGCTAAACAGAAATGTTCCCCGCGGTTAGCCACAGGGAGGGGGGAAGGTTGAGGGGGTAGTCACGCGGTGGGAGGAGGCAAAATGCGACCTTGTAACGAAAGCACATGTGCTATGTATGTAATGTTAACAGCAAGGTTTACCCTGAAAGAGTGTAGCCACTGTTTTATAAAATGTGTCTTTTTAAATACCGCTGTCCCTTTTTTTTTTCTCCACCAGCTGCATGTGTTTCAATGATCACAGGATCTTCTCCTTCCCAGAGGCTAGTGAAGCTTAGAAAGAAAAAAAAACGCACTCGCGATGAAATGTTCTCCGAGCTCATGCTGTCCTCCCACACTGACAGAGCACAGACGAATGCGTGGAGGCAAATAATGTCAGAGTGCAGGAAAGCACAAAATGACCGGGAGGAGAGGTGGCGGGCTGAAGAGAGTAAGTGGCGGGCTGAAGAGAGTAAGTGGCGGGCTGAAGACAGGGCTGAAGCTCAAATGTGGCGGCAGCGTGATGAGAGGAGGCAGGATTCAATGCTGAGGCTGCTGCAGGACCAAACCAGTATGCTCCAGTGTATGGTTGAGCTGCAGCAAAGGCAGCTGGAGCACAGACTGCCACTGCAGCCCCTCTGTAACCAACCGCCCTCCTCCCCAAGTTCCATAGCCTCCACACCCAGACGCCCAAGAACGCGGTGGGGGGGCCTCCGGCCAACCAGCCACTCCACCACAGAGGATTGCCCAAAAAAAAAGGAGGCTGTCATTCAATAAATTTTAAAGTTGTAAACTTTTAAAGTGCTGTGCTTAAAGTGCTGTGTGGCATTTTCCTTCCCTCCTCCACCACCCCTCCTGGGCTACCTTGGTAGTCATCCCCCTATTTGTGTGATGAATGAATAAAGAATGCATGAATGTGAAGCAACAATGACTTTATTGCCTCTGCAAGCGGTGATTGAAGGGAGGAGGGGCGGGTGGTTAGCTTACAGGGAAGTAGAGTGAACCAAGGGGCAGGGGGTTTCATCAAGGAGAAACAAACAGAACTTTCACAACGTAGCCTGGCCAGTCATGAAACTGGTTTTCAAAGCTTCTCTGATGCGTACCGCGCCCTCCTGTGCTCTTCTAACCGCCCTGGTGTCTGGCTGCGCGTAACCAGCAGCCACGCAATTTGCCTCAACCTCCCACCCCGCCATAAACGTCTCCCCCTTACTCTCACAGATATTGTGGAGCACACAGCAAGCAGTAATAACAGTGGGAATATTGGTTTCGCTGAGGTCTAAGCGAGTCAGTAAACTGCGCCAGCGCGCCTTTAAACGTCCAAATGCACATTCTACCACCATTCTGCACTTGCTCAGCCTGTAGTTGAACAGCTCCTGACTACTGTCCAGGCTGCCTGTGTACGGCTTCATGAGCCATGGCATTAAGGGGTAGGCTGGGTCCCCAAGGATACATATAGGCATTTCAACATCCCCAACAGTTATTTTCTGGTCTGGGAATAAAGTCCCTTCCTGCAGCTTTTGAAACAGACCAGAGTTCCTGAAGATGCGAGCATCATGCACCTTTCCCGGCCATCCCACGTTGATGTTGGTGAAACGTCCCTTGTGATCCACCAGAGCTTGCAGCACTATCGAAAAGTACCCCTTGCGGTTTATGTACTCGGCGGCTTGGTGCTCCGGTGCCAAGATAGGGATATGGGTTCCGTCTATAGCCCCACCACAGTTAGGGAATCCCATTGCAGCAAAGCCATCCACTATGACCTGCACATTTCCCAGGGTCACTACCCTTGATATCAGCAGATCTTTGATTGCGTGGGCTACTTGCATCACAGCAGCCCCCACAGTAGATTTGCCCACTCCAAATTGATTCCCAACTGACCGGTAGCTGTCTGGCGTTGCAAGCTTCCACAGGGCTATCGCCACTCGCTTCTCAACTGTGAGGGCTGCTCTCATCTTGGTATTCATGCGCCTCAGGGCAGGGGAAAGCAAGTCACAAAGTTCCATGAAAGTGCCCTTACGCATGCGAAAGTTTCGCAGCCACTGGGAATCGTCCCAGACCTGCAACACTATGCGGTCCCACCAGTCTGTGCTTGTTTCCCGAGCCCAGAATCGGCGTTCCACAGCATGAACCTGCCCCATTAGCACCATGATGCATGCATTGTCAGGGCCCATGCTTTCAGAGAAATCTGTGTCCATGTCCTGATCACTCACGTGACCGCGCTGATGTCGCCTCCTCGCCCGGTATCGCTTTGCCAGGTTCTGGTGCTGCATATACTGCTGGATAATGCATGTGGTGTTTAATGTGCTCCGAATTGCCAAAGTGAGCTGAGCGGCCTCCATGCTTGCCTTGGTATGGCGTCCGCACAGAAAAAAGGCATGGAACGATTGTCTGCCGTTGCTCTGACGGAGGGAGGGGCGACTGACGACACGGCTTACAGGGTTGGCTTCAGGGAGCTAAAATCAACAAAGGGGGTGTCTTTACATCAAGGAGTATTTCAGGCAGGACTTCACGGAGGGTTCCAATAAGAAATGGTGCACCTAAGTTATCGTTCTTATTGGAACAAGGAGGTTAGCCTGGCCTCTGATTGATACATGGCTAGATTTACCTCGCTGCACCTTCTCTGTGAGTGACTGCAGTGTGACCTAAAGGAATGAGTCCCCTAGACAGGGGAGGAGGCAAATGAGTACAAAACAAATCTGGTCTATTTCTTGTTTTGACCCACTCCATCTATCTTTTACATCTTTGGCTGGCAGCAGACGGTGCAGAAGGACTGCATGCCATCCACATCTCATGGCTGCTCGGCAGAAGATGGTACAGTACAACTGCTAGCCATCCTCATCTCTTGCCTGCCTGGCAGAAGATGGTACAATACGACTACTAGCAATCCTCATCTCTTGCCTGCCTGGCAGAAGATGGTACAATACGACTACTAGCAATCCTCATCTCTTGCCTGCCTGGCAGAAGATGGTACAGTACGACTGCTAGCAGTCCGTATCGCCTGCCCGCTCACCATAAGACGGTTCAATAGGACTGACTGCAGGACTAAAGAGAATGACCTGGTCAAGTACTCCAAATTTAGTCCCTGCGCCCATGTCTGCCCAGGCGCTCCCAGCCGACGTGGCCAGGAGCACCTCGGACACGACGAGGACGACTACCAATCGTATTGCACCGTCTGCTGCCAGAAGGCAATGGGTTGCTGCTACTGTGCAGCAAAGCCGTACCACGTCTGCCAGCACCCAGGAGACATAGGGTGACGGTTACCTGAGCGGGCTCCATGCTTGCCGTGGTATGGCGTCTGCACAGGTAACTCAGGAAAAAAGGCGCGAAACGATTGTCTGCCCTTGCTTTCACGGAGGGAGGGAGGGAACGGGGGGCCTGACGATATGTACCCAGAACCACCCGCGACAATGTTTTAGCCCCATCAGGCATTGGGATCTCAACCCAGAATTCCAATGGGCAGCGGAGACTGCGGGAACTGTGGGATAGCTACCCACAGTGCAACGCTCCGGAAGTCGACTCTAGCCTCGGTACTGTGGAAGCGCTCCGCCGAGTTAATGCACTTAGAGCATTTTCTGTGGGGACACACACACTCGAATATATAAAACCGATTTCTAAAAAACCGACTTCTATAAATTCGACCTTATTCCGTAGTGTAGACATACCCTAAGAGAGCAGCCTGCTTTGTCTCTCTTTGGTTTTGGTTCTTGTGTTATTGTTCTGAATTCTAAGAAATAAAGTTATATTTCACTGCAACCTTCCAGTATTTTATGTTTTATCTAATTTCTCTGTGTGTGCGTGGTGAAAATAACACTGTTTATGAGTTGCGTGTGAGATCATGGTCTCTGTATGTATCTTTGCCAAGCTGCAATCTCCATTTTGAAAGTATAAGCCTCCTGTCTTCTTTATTATCCTTTCACTTCCATGTTGGACTGAAACTCTAACTGGGGAACTGGCAAAGGCCTAACAAAAGTGGACTGTTAAATCTGGATGGAACTCTATTAAAAAAGAAAGCACCCTAGACGAACAGCTGGCACCTACCTTTACGGTTGCTACCTTTCTAATTGCTGGTAACTGGACCCCCAAGGCTCCCCCACTCTGCCCCTTCCCCCAAGGCCCCGTTCCCATCACTTGCTCCTCTCCCCCTGCACCCACCTCCGTCACTCGCTGGATTGTCTGCACCTCCCTCGCCCCCTCAGCTGGGCTCCCTCTGCTTCAGGGCTGGGATGGGACCTATTGCGGCCTGACAAGGAGCCTGCCTGCAGGTAGGAGGCAGCCCTGGCTGAGTGGGGCTGGCACAGGTTAATGACCCAGCACCTTTCCCCACCCTGCGGTCACCAGACTTTTGGTATCTGGTCAGTACCAACTGGATGCTGCCAGGTCCCCTTTTTGACCAGACTTTCTGGTCAAAAACCGGGCATCTGGCAACCCTAAATGGCACCCATGCACAGAAGCCAAAACCCGGATGGCTGCAACCCTACCTACCCTGGAGAACTGATTTGTCAGGGAAGAGGTCACCTAGCAATGAGGTGACCTGCCAGAACTCTGGTCAGCTGTTGAGGCCAACCAGGGAGTCACCTGACAGAGCAGGCCGGAAGATTAAAGAGGACCAGAGTGGCTTTAGATGATGCTCCTCAGCCATTTTTACTCCTTAAGAT